CTCCCATCCCATCTCCCATCCCATCTCCCATCCCATCTCCCATCCCATCTCCCATCCCACCCCACTCCTTCCCTGCCCCCCCAGGAAGGATCCACCACATCCCCTGTCCCCATGGACCCCAGTCCCTGTTCCCTCACCGAACGCCTGCAGTTTTCCCGAGTGGAAGTCGCTGAGGAGGCTGAGCAGCCCCCCCTCCATCTCGCACACGTCGGACACGTCCGTGAGGAAGCTGTGCTGGAGTGGGGCCCCCCGGGACCCCCCCGCGCCCGCCCGCGCCCGCTCCTTGCTGGTCCTGCACAGGGAACAGGGATTTGCATCGCTCCAGGGGCACCACGGGGGGGCTGCAGGGGGTCCCCCCCATCCCGCACCGACCTGCGGAGCCGGGCGCGCTGCCGGGGCGAGGGCAAGGTGGGCAGGGGCAGCGCGAAGGTCGTGCTCTTGCTGGGGGGCAGCGGGCGCGGGGCCCCGGGGGGCGCCGGCTGGGCCAGGCAGGTCCTGGGGCTGCGCTTCCTCCTCCGCTCCTCCATCCCGGGGGCTGCGGGGACCCTGCGGGGACGGACACGGAGCTTGGAGGCTCCTTCCCTGATGGTTCAGGGAAAGGAGACGAGTCTGCCCGGGGCACAGCAGAGGGGCTGCGGGACCCCCGGCGTGGGGGGTGACAGCCACGGCCACCGGGACCCTCAGCACGGCCACCAGGACCCCCAGGACAAAGGGTGACAGCCACGGCCACCGGGGCTCGCTGGCGGTGGGAGGGCTGGAGCGGGAGCTCGGACCCCCTTTCCCGGGGGGCAGCAGCCGAGCTCGGGCTCGGGCTCAGACTCTGCTCGCAGCGGGAGCTCCGGCCTGGCCTCGGCTCTCGCCGTGTCCCCAGCCCCGGGAGAACAGGATTTCAACCTCGGCTGCCCCCGGCGAGAGCGGGACCGGGACCGTGCGGGCACCGACACCTCCGGGCTCCGGCCGAGCCCCCCCCGACCCCCGGCCCCGCACGGCGGCCGGACGGGGCCGCTCTGGGGCCGTGGAGCCCCTTTGTCCGCAGCCTCCGGAGCTCCACGGCCGGGCACTGACCCGTGCCAGGCCCCGCTCCGGCCCGGGGGGCTGACCCGGCGTGTCCCCGAGCCCACCGGACACCCCGAACCTGCCGGACACGTGTCCCCGAGCCTGCCGGACACCCCAAACCTGCCGGACACCCCGAGCCCGCCGGACACCGTCCGCACAGCCCGCGATTTGCATTTAAAGGGAAAGGGAACTTCCTCCAGGCGCTGCCGGACCCCCAGAACCGGCCCCGGCCCCAGCCCCGGGATCAGCATCGGGCGGGGTCGGGGATGGGGCAGGATCGGGATCCAGCCCCCGCGCAGCGGCCGCTCCCCCGCGGCCCCGGGGTCGTTCGTGCCCCCCCTCCATCCCCCTCCGTTTACCCCGCGTTGTCCCCCGGTGTCACCGCAGAGCCGCGATTGCGGGATCCGTCCCTGCAGGAAGGAGCTGGGAAGGAGCCGGGAGGGAGCCGGGAAGGAGCCAGGAAGGGCCTCCAGCCCTGGCGCAGGGACGGGATTAGACAAGTCCCGTCCCCCCCCCGCCCGCCCCGCGCGCAGACGGAGCGCGGCTGCTCGTGTAAATCCCGCCAGGATTTTAATCCCACCTTGGACATTTTGGAGCCAATGGGGGCACCAGGGGTTGGGCACCCCCAGGGCAGGTGGCACTTGGTGGCTGCAGCATCCCCTGGAGGGAGAGCCACAGGTGAATGTCCCACGCTGGGGGTCCTGGAGACCCACCCGACCTTCCCTCGGGCAGGGACATCTCCTCCCAACCTCCCCCACCTCCTCCCCCTTGGAAAGGCAGGGACAGAGCGCCGGGAGACAGGGAAGCCACGTCCCACAGAGGCTGGTGTGGCCTCCCCAAACCCACCCCACCACCCCAAATCTTCACTCCCCCCCCCCGTGGTACTGAAGGAGACAAGAGAGGTGGAGGCAGCAGCGAGGTTGGGAGCGTTTCTATTGGATACAGGATACACACAACAGCCCCCACAGGGGTTTTCTGTACCGTAATGGGGAAAAGAAAAAAAAAAAACAGGGAGGGGAAGTCGGTGAATTCCTAAGGGGTTTTCCTTTTACTGAAGGAGCAGGAAGAGAAGCCCAGATCCCGATCCTGGCAGCAGCCCCTCCTCAGCCTGGCTGCTGGGAACAGGGTGGTCCCACCAGGCCAGACCTACATTCACTTGCTCGGGGGCTCCTGCCAGACCCTTCCAGAGGCAAATGCTGGAAGGCAAAGCCATGCTCAGCTCCAGGGAATGTGTCCCAGTGGATGTTCAACCGCAGCTCTGTGCAGACTTTGTTGGAGCCCATCCCTGCTGCAGACAGACCCTTCCCTGGACCTGGGCTCGTTGGGGTCCCTGCAGAGGAAAGGGGGACAAGGAGGCAGGTCCTTCGTGGAGAGAAGATGCGAGAGCAGCTGCGTTGCCAGAAGAGAATCCAAAGCTGTTCCACTGAACACATCCACGGTGGGAAATGTCTCCAGCCAGCTGGCTCCAGCTTCCAGCAGAAGGAAGGCAATGCTGGGAATAAAGTCTGTCACAGAGAAGCTGCAGCGAAGGAGGGTTGAAGCACGTCAAGTCTTCCAAAAGAACACTGGAAAGAGAAAGTCTTGAGAAACTAAAGGAGAAATCCCAAATCCCAGTGCCAGCAGGTCCCACGTCTGTCCCTGAACACCCTCCCAGCACAGCCGGGTCCTTGAGGCGAGCGGGATGAGGCAGCACTGGGGAGATACTTTTCCAAGAAGGCAGAGAGGGAAGGGAAAAGGGGGTCTGGGATAGCACAGGTACCCCCAGGCTGGAGGGCCCACAGTCCTGGAGCTGGTCCCGGCGATCCTGGAGCAGACACAGGGTTTATCCTCCTGGAGCCCCAGCTCTGTGGGTGCCCCCAGGGACGGGGCAGAGGAGCTCGAGGGGGCCCCGTCCCCCTGCACAACGATGACACACTTGTGCAAAACACTTGGGAATTAGACCTTTGGATTAACTGTTTAATACACTTGTGCACATGTGCGTTCAGCAAAGAGGCAACTGTGAATCGTAAGGCGATTGAGACATTGGCAGGTCCTGGGAAGAGCGAAAGTCCCGCTGGACAGGACCGGGAATGCCCTTCCTGCTTCTCCTTGTGCCCGTTCCACACACAGAACAGAGCAGGGGAACGGCCTCTTGCACCCCCAGCTCACACAGGAGCAAGTCCAGGAGCTCCCTCCTGCCTGGAGGAGAGGGAAGCGGGAGAATCCGGCGCTGTGGTTCTCCCAGCTCTGTTCCTTGGCTTTCACTGGGTGCCAGAGTCGCTGTGACGGCAGAGGCAGTGCCGGCGCATTCCATGGGACACAGATCCAGGGACCTGCCCTCCTGAGCTGCGCCAGATTTTGGGGATCGCAGCCCCTGCCAATGACAAGGTCTTTTAGTGAGAGGGACGATCAGTTGAGGCTCCATATATTAGTTATTGACACACGCAGGGAAGGCGGGTCAGTCTGGTTTTCCATGGG